ACATAGGACCTTGACACAAGACTAGGTGTCAGACAAGTTGACTGCAAACCTCTTAAGAAAGGTGAAAGCAATGAAAACATTTTGGCTGCCTCAGGTCTTTTCTATTGACTTGACATTGTCCTTATTGGAGTGAAGTCCTTTAAACGGAAGAATCCATGAACTTTTTTCCTCAAATGAAGCAATGCCTGGAAATACTAGCACATTAGACTTTTTATGTAAACAATAATCATTAAAATTCAACAAGACACTATATATATAGCAACAAAGTTCATGGTTTTGCCATAAGAGAGATGAAAAATCATTATGGTAGTTTATAAAACAGTATTCTGTATCATATACTCACAATTAAATTGATGACCGCCAAGAGAAACAGAAGGATAATCACACAGATGGCTAAATTGCCCTTTCTTCCTCTCAATCCCGTTTTATGGAGACGATCTTCATCGATTGGAATATATCCAGCTTTGAAGTTACTATTATGCTCTTTACTAATGTTCCTTCTTTCAACAGCCTTCTCACACATAGACTTCTTGACAGGACCATTGGAACTTTGCTACAAACAAAATGCAGCACAATGAAAAGCTATCCCCTCTCTTTTTGATGCATTTAGTATGTGCACATTCATCAGTGAGCATAGCTGAGTTGGTATCTTTTCCACGAGTAAACTCTGTGTCATGTAGAATCAATGCAGTCTCACAGTGACTCTTTGTAGGGCTTTGAGACTCTAAATCTTAAAGGGAGCAGAATGCCCTATCTTTTTCCTATGGAGTGACCCGTGGGTTTGAACTACAGACCTTGTAGTTAGCAGCCTGATCCCAAACTCCCGGTGTCGCCAAGACTCAGGTAAACCCCTTGTCATACTGACTGTAGGCTCCCAATTCAGCTGCTAATGTGCTTAGAGGAGAAGTACAGAAAAAACTTCCGTGTGACTCTTTGGTGACATGTATTCCTTCTCTGTGAAATTCTGGTATAGCACTGTAGGATAAGCACTGGACTGCTAACCCAAGCCATGATATTTTCAATAACCTCATAGGCATGTGAAAGTTGGAGAGTGAATAAGGAAGGTCGTAGAAGAACTGATGCATTTGAGTTATGGCATTTGAGGAGAATATTAAAAGTGCCATGGATGGCCAAAAGAACAAACCGATCTGTGTTGGAAGAAGTACAGCCAGAGTGCTCCTTAGAAGTCAAGATGGCCAGACTTCATCTCTCACACTTCAGACATATTATTAGGATTTAGGATCCCTAGCAAAAAGAAAATGCAAGGTCCCTTCTTCAAATATCAAGCCTGGATCTACAGAGCACAGGTCCTTTCAAAGCACAGGACAGGCAGGTCAGATAGTTTGCATGGCCACTAAGCCTGCCCTGCCCTAGTCTCAGAGTAGGTTAACCAAGTGAAGGGTTGGCTCTAACCATTTTAGCAGGGTGGCAGGAACAGGTAAGTACTTGGCTGCTAACCAAAAGGTTTAATCCCACCCAGTGTCTCTGTAGTAGAAAATAGTGGTGATCTGCTTCAGTGACGATTACAGCAAAGAAACCCTACAGGACAGTTCTACTCTGTCACATAGAGTCACCACGAGTCAAAATGGAGCCCATGTCACCCAGCAACAACAGAATACAGGCCAACTTCAGGTAACTGGAAAATTCAGTTTAGTTCAGGATTCGACACATACATGTGTAAGTCACCTATATGTTATTATATTGTGTCATAGATTGACTTGTGTCCTTCCAAAACCTGTGTCAACTTGGCTGGGTCATTATTCTCAGTGGTTTGGCAGTTATGTAGTGATGTCATGTGACAGTTATGTGATGATTCCCTATTACGTGATCTGATGTGATAAATCAGTAAAAGTGCTAAGAGTGGGCTGCAATATCCAGAATCCCATCACAACCCTGATTGGATGTAAGGGAGTTTCCCATGGGTATGCCTTGCATCAAGAGCTAAAAGGAGAGAGATATGAGCAAAGAAGTGTCAAGAGTGGACCGCGTCCTTTGGATCCGAAATCCCTACACTGTGAAGCTCCTAGATCCAGGCAAAGACTGATGTCAAGATACATGGAGACCACCAAGGAATGCTGGGCCTGCAGATGTTGAATCCTTTCTCCAAAGCCAGCGCTCAGAATTCAGATTTCTAGCCTCCTACAAGGTGAGAGACTCAATTTCTGTTGTTAAAGTCATCTGCTTGTGGTATTTCAGTTTAGCAGCAGCACTGGAGAACTAAGACAGGGAAATTTAGGATTGGATCTGACTGCCCAGTTTACAAGTGAGGCAAGGATGGTGTTGTTGTTAAGTACCATGGAGTTGGTTCCGACTCCTTATAGGGTTTCCAAGGAGTGGGTGCTGGATTTAAACTGCTGACTTTGCAGTTAGCAGTCCAGTGCTTATTTTTTAGCACCAATGTAGATGGGAAAGAAATGTCTGGAACAGAAGCTGATACATCAGAGGCAAGTCATTTTATCTCAACAACTCCAAGAAGCTTCTCCTCCTTTCATTTTCACTCATGCCTTTACATTTTATTTTCATGTTACAAACCTGCAACTTGCCTACTGTTTTAGCTATTCTTTTCTGCACTTATCTGGCTATTTGATTTTCAACTCCCTGAGGCAGATTTTGTGTATTTACCTTTTATGTCTCTTAGAATGTCTTCCCCAATGACTTACATCAAATAGTGTTTACAAATAGTTAACTAAGAAAACTTAAAACAATTCTGTCAAGTGATGCAGGTCCAAGCAGTGTTTTGTTCTGCTGGGAATAGGGTGACTCACTATGAGTTGGTACTAACTTGATGGCACCTAACAACAACCACAACAAACTGATAAAAATTTGTAACCCCAAAGACTTACTCATTGCAAATACCTTTTCAACAACATAAATAGAGTCAACCTCACTGAATGGAATATGTAGGAATTGTATTGACTACATCTGAGGAAAGAGATGGTAGAAATACTCAAGAACAAGGTGACTGTGGAACAGGTCATCAACTGTTCACATGAAACTTCAAGTTGAAGCTGAAGAAAATTAAAACAAGTCCACAAGAGCCAACCTATGACCGTCAATATATCCCACCTGAACGTAAAGACCACCAAAAATCCGATGTGATACACTGAACACTAATGACCAATGACCAAATGAATTGTGGGATGACATCAAAGATATCATACATAAGGAAAGCAAAAGGTCATTAGAAAGATAGAAAAGAAAGAAAAGACCAAAATGAATGTCAAAAGAGACTCTGAAACTTGCTGTTAAATGTAGAGTAACTGAAGCAACTGGAAAAAATGAGGAAGTCAAAGAGCTTAACAGAAGACTTCAAAGGGCAGCTCAAGAAGACAAAGTAAAGTAGTCAATGTGCAAAGACTTGGAATTAGAAAAGTATTTCTCAGGCAAAAAGAACTGAACAAAAATACAAGTCTCAAGATGCAATAATGAAGGATTCTATGGGCAAAATATTGAACATCAGAGCAAGCATTAAAAGAAGATGGAAGAAATGCCCAGTCACTGTACCAAAAAGAATTCACGGAAGAAGTCCAAGCTGCTCTGATGGTATTGACAAAAAACAGGGTTCCAGGAGTTGATGTAATTCCGACTGAGAGGTTGCCACAAAAGTATGCCACACTGGAAGTGCTCACTCATCTATGCCAAGAAATGTGGAAGTGAGCTACCTGGCCAATCAATTCTAAGAGATCCATTATCTGTGCCCATTCCAAAGAAAGATGACCCGACACAATGTGGAAATTATTAAATAATATCATTAGCATCACATGCAAGTAAAATTTTGCTGAAGATAATTCAAAACCAGTTGTAGCCACACACTGACAGGGAACTGCCCTAAATTCAGAAGATGACATGGGATGAGGGATATCACTATAGGCATCTGATGGATCTTGGCAGAAAGCAGAGAATACCAGGAAGATATTTACATGTGCTTTATTGACTATGCAAAGGTATTCAACTGTGTGGATCATAACAAACTAGTGTTAACATTACGAAGAATACATATTCCAGAACACTTAATTGTGCTCATGAGGAACCTGTACATAGACCAGAGAGCAGTTGTTCCAACAGAACAAGAGGATATTGAATGGTACAAAATAAGGAAAGGTGTGTGCCAGGGTGATATCTTTTCACCACACTTATTCAATCTGTATGTTGAACAAATAATTGGAGAACCTATATGAAGAAGAAGGACGGGAAGAAGATTCATTAACAATCTGCAATATGCAGATGACACAAGTTTGCTTACTGAAAGCAAAGAGGAGTTGAAGCATTTGATGAAGATCAATTACAGCCTTCAGTTTGGATTACACTTCAGTGTAAAAAGTACAAAAATCCTCACAACTAGATCAGTAAGCAACATCACAATTGAAGCTATCTGTAATTTCATCTTACTTGAATACACAGTCCACGCATATGGAAGCCAAATAACATACTGCACTGGGCAAATGCGTTGTAAAAGATCTCTTAAAGTGCTAGGAAGCAAAACGTCACTTTGAGGAGTTAACGTGTGCCTTTCAACTGCCTCATATGCAAGCCAAAGTTGGGCAATGAATAAGGAAGACCAAAGAAGAACTGATGCCTTTGAATTATGTTGTTGGACAAGAGTATTGAAAAAAACATGGACTGCCAAAAACTCAAATCCCAAATCCGTATGGGAAGAAGAGTTAGAATGATCCGTAGAAGCGACAATGGCAAGACTGTCTCTTGTACTTTGGACATGTTATCAAGAGGCACCGACCAGTCCCTGGAGAAGGACTTCATGCTTGGTCAGTTACAAGATGGTTAAAAAAAGCTGAAGACTCTGAAGGAGACGAATTGATACAGTGACGCTGGCACAGGCAGACTGGATGGTACCTAAGAGAACAAATCTCTAAACCTAAGAGGGAGGGGAACCTGGATGCCTGGGTATCAGGAATAGTAAGGACAGAAAAGGCAACAGCTGACCTTCTCCCTGCTGGTGTTACGAGAGCCTCCCTGCCCAGGAGCTGAGGTTATTTTTATACGCCTGTGTGCTGCCCGCCAAGCCCAGCACGTCCTGGGGCGGGCTCCAGGCTGGCATGGCCACCACCCATTCTATGAGAACGGTGACCCCTCCTCACCCTGGCTAGGGCAGTCAGGCCAGGCCGAGGACCGCGGCGTGAACCCCTCTCCTCCCTTCCCGCGGCGCCCGGCCGGGACCTTGCCCAGGATCCGCCGGCTTTGACAGCATCTCTAGCTGCAGAGAGCGGACAGCAACTCGCGGCCCGCCTGCCCTCGCGCTGCCTGGTCCCGGCCTGCCCAGCAAGTCCCGTACAGTGCCCGCAACCGTTGGGCCCGGCCTCCCCGTTTCCGCTAACGCTGCGTTTGGTAAGACGCACAAACCTGCTCGGCAGCCGCAGCCGCCGCCGCTGCCGCCATCTTCCGAGGGCCGCAGCGCCGCGCCCTCCCCGCAGGGCAGTGCCCGCGCACTGCGCCTGCGCCCGGGAGTTGGCTTGGGGAGGAGGGGGGACGGGATCGAGGCGCAGCAGCCGCCCACGCCCCCACCAGCGGGAAGGAGGGTTTGAAAGAGGCTGGGAGAGTGAGGTGCAGCCTCGGTCTTGGTCTCAGGGCCGTGGACCCTGATGTCGGGGTGCGTGTTCCAGAAAGTGTCAGGCGACAATTCCACGAGAGCTCAGGCTGCCTCGGAATTCTTCCAAAAGGGTGTCCTGCATCTTCAGAGTAAGTCCCTCTATTCCCTCTCCATCTCCATCACCCAAGGCGGTGCCATCCCGAGCAGTGGTCCCCCTTTCCTCACGAACCAGAGTCCCCAGGCTAGACTGGATGTTATGGAGAGCCTGCAGACTACAACCGACCGACGGACCGGGATGGAGAACACAGGGGCAGAAGTTAGCAAATTGCTAATTAGGCAGCTCAAACCTTCCAAAAATTCTCTAGAAGGCAGTTGAATGGAAAGTCTTATTGCTTTCTATGGTATTGAAGGTGAGATTTCCATGTGATATACGCGGTAGTGTTGTCAAGGTATACTCTTGGAAGCCTACGTTTTCAAATATTTACTGCACACCCGGAAGCTACCCAACTGTACGAGTCACTTGAATCCACAGTAGTTGCTCCCTGTCTCAGTACGATAAGACTAAATATTAAAAGAAAGAAAACGCAAAGCAACAGCGTACAAGTTGCCAGTAAAATCACTTCTGAACATCTTTGGTCTCTAGAGCCGTCCAGCTCAGGGGAAAGCACGGGAGAACAGCTGGCCAAATCTTTCTTTCTCTAGGAACTAGATCAATTTTCCTTTTTGGTTACTAGTACACTTGGACTTTTGGTGTGGCACTGTAGGATCAGCACTGGATTGCGAACCACAAGGTCAGCGGTTCAAACCCACCCGCTGCTCCTTGGAAACCCTATACAGGGTCACAATGAGTCCGAAGCGACTCGACGGCACTTAACAATAACCGCATACTTATCTTGCTACTCTGTCTACTGGACTGCTAACTGCCAGGTTGGCAGTTCAAACCCACTAGCTGCTCCTCTGAAAAGCTATTGTCAGTACCAACTCTATGGCACTTGACAACAACAGATGGTCACCAATCTGCCTAACTTCTTTCCCAGTGCTAGAACCACTTGTCTCCCGTCTCTAAACTCAAGCTCACTCTTGCATCATTTCTAGGACCAGCCTAAATCGCAGGCAGAACGACTAGAAATTATTGGCCCTGCAGGAGATCACTGTTAAAATCTGCCACTGGTTCCATTTGTTAGTTTTGATAACTGGCTAGTACCTTTGTGATGGTTTAGATTTTGTGCCACCTTGACTGGACCAGGATTCTCAGTAATTCGGGAGTTGAGATGTAGCTATTCTCCATTATATGAATTGATGATAAACCAATAAAAGGATTAAGGTGGTATTGTTGTATTTTGCTGTTAAGTGCCATCAAGTTGGTTCTGACTCATAGTTACCCTGTATAGTGTTTCTGATGAGTGGCTGGTAGGTTTGAACCACAGACCTTGCAGATACCAGTCCAGTGCCAATCCTACAGAATCATGCCACCATCCTTAATTCCACCACCACCTTGATCTGATTTCCAGCGGTGTGACATACAACACTTTTTTTCCCCCTCAAGGGATAAAAGGAGAGACTTGAAGAGAGAAAGAGGGACCTGCCACCACCAAGCCAGCTGTGCTGGGAGTGGACTGCGTCCTTTGGATTGGGGTCCCTGCACTGTGAAGTTCCTAGATCCAGGGGAAGATTGATGCGAAGATGCAAGAAGAGAGATCTCCAAAGAATACTGAGTCTACAGCTGCTGAAAGGAAACAAAGATCTTTACCCAGAACCAACAAAGAAAAAGTCTTCCCCAAAAGCCAGCACTGTTATCTCCAAAGATATCTCCATATCTTACCCATCCTTTTATCTCCAAAGGTGATCACAGAAATGAGCCTTAATAAAGGTCTTAGAAATCTTCCTGATATCTCAGTTTCTAGGAAAAGAAGCCCTATCTTGGATTTTTCCAATTTTGGTGGTGAGATCCCTGCTAACGTTTTCCTGACATTCCAATATCCCTTTCGTGATCCAGGATCACCTTCCTCTGGACAGCCCATTGCTGGTTTTGGTCACTCTGAGAGGACACCCCATTATTCTTCTGTTGCCAATTACTGTAGTCTTTAAAGAGATCCAATTCAGTCATTTAACAATCTCTTTATTGTGGATCATTCCCAGGTGTATTACCTTCAAACTTCTTTTCTAAAATAAAGATTGTAAGAGTCCACTGTGTCTTTAATTATACAAAAAGTCATGTCATCCTTTTTTCACAAATGAAGAAATCAAGGCTTCAACTAACAAAATCAAGCCTTCAACTAACAAAAAACCACAGTTGACCCTGCATCTACCTGATTAAAGTATTTGGTCTATTATATGGCATAACCTTTAATTCTGCATTTCCTTTTGTCTGTTGTGTATCATTAGCATTTCAAAGTATGAAACAAAGTGCTCCAAGACTGGAGAACTAGTCAGGTTCTAATACTCTCTGTGGTTGAGTAGATTCCAACTCATATCAACCCTATAGAGCAGAACAGAACAGAACAGCATCATAAGGTTTCTGAAGCTGTAAATCTTTACAGAAGATAGCGTAGTAGTTATGAATTAGGCTGCGAACCTTTAAGGTCAGCAGTTCAAAACTACCAGCTGTTCCACAGGAGAAAGATGAGGCTTTCTGCTCCCATCAAGATTTACAGCTTCGGAAACCCTGTACAGGGTCGCTATGGGACGGAACCAACTCGACGGCACTTTAACAACACAACAACAATAGATCTTTACAGAGGTAGACTGCTTCATCTTTCTCTCAAAGAATGGTTGGTGGGTTTGAACAACCAACTTTTCAATTAGCAACCCAACACTTAACCCACTGTGCCACAAGGACTCCCAGCAGATTATTACATTGATATTATTCACTTCAAGCTCACAGTCTGTCCAAGTGCTGAACTCAAAACCTTTCCTCACAGGCTTCTGTGCGTGTATTCTCTTAGTGAACGATACATCCAGTTAGAAAACTCTCAGTTACCTTGATCATTTCCCAATTTCCAGTGTGATTTTTCTGATCTATAAATCTGATCACATCATTCCTCACCCTGAAGCTTAAATTTTTCTAAAACTTTTCAAGATAAAATTAAAAATTCTCCATATTAGCATGTAGGTAGGTCCTTTACCTTCTGGTTCCTTTAGCCATGTTTCTGTCCCTCACACAAGTTCATCCTTCACTCAAACCATGCACTGGACTGAGAACCACAAAGTCAGAGGTTCAAACCTACCAGCTGCTCCTTGAAGACCCTATACAGGGTCACTCGACAGCATGTAACAACAACAATAACAAGACATGTATAAAATCTCCAATTCCTATTCATTTCCTTTAACTCATCAAGTTTATGCCTCTGTGTCTTTGTATATGCTGATAACGGTCTCATTTTTAATCCAGCGAGTCTCCTGCTTGACCACTAAAAATCACCTGAAGGAATATCTCTGTGGGGAAATGATCCTTCTACCTATCACAGATTTTTGGTTTCTGTGCCCCCTCTGTCATTCTCACATATGTTCTGCACAAGGACCACATGTATTATACTACATTGGAATTATTTGCTTGCCTATCTGTCTTATACCTGGATTCATACCTTTTCAAATTCTATCAGTTTTTAAGAATGAATCTCATTTCCACCTCCTCCGATTACAGCCCATTATTATTCTCTTGTTAACTGTCATTGCACTGATTTACTACTATACCTACTTAATAATGCAGTTGCCCCCATAGATTGTGACCTTTTAGAAGTTGTTGTTGTTAAGTACCATTGAGTTGGTTCCAATCCTGTATAGAGTTTCTGAGGAGTAGCTGGTGAGCTTGAACTGACAACCTTGCAGTTCAAACCAACTTTGCAGCCTGCAGCGTTAACCCACTGTGCCATACTGTTCAGAAGTAGATAATTAATAATGCACTACCTGTGTTCTTTTAATTTTCATTCACATATAGTTTTCTCCCAACTAGACTTTGTTCTTACAAAACAGGGGCCATGTTTTACTACTTCTGTGTTTGCTCCTAGTCCTGAAGCTCATAAAATGAGAACATAGAACACTGGGTTTAGGCAACACTGAGTAAATGGACAAAGATGCTGTTTTGGGGTAGTCATTAAGTAGCTAACATTTTGTTTCTGGATAGTGGAGACAAAATTCTTTAGCAATACCATTAATAAAGACTGTATTCAAAGGGAACTTCATGCAAGTGGGTCCACAAAGGCTGAAACACTGTCTTTAAATAATAATACAGGCTTGATCTAAAGACTCAAGATCCTAACACAGACAGCTGTGGGATAAGAATAACCTGGCACACACAGGAGAGGATCAGGGTGCCTGAAAAGGAATCCAGACCAGAGCAGAACACAGACTATTCTTTTAACTACATTGGCTAAACTTTGACAACTGTTCTGAGGAAGAACTGGAAATTACAATGAGAATCCCACTGTATATTCTTTTTTAGCTGATTGCTTATATTTTATTAAGTGTGTTGTGAACTGCATACACACTTCATTGAGTGGCTTTGGTTCACCTTTTTGGCTTCTGTCTTAGTTATCTATCTAGTGCTGCTATAATCACAAGCTGATGACTTTAACAAACATATTTATTGTCTCACGGTTTGGGAATTCAGTGCATCGGAGAAAGGTCCTTCTCCTTTCAGCACCTGTAGACCCAGCATTCCTTGGAGACCTCCATGTGTCTTGGCATCAGTCTTTCCCTGGATCTAGGAGTTTCACAGTACAGGGCCCCAGGACAAAGGATGCACTCCATTCCTGCCTCTTCTTTTTTGGTGGTGGTAGTTCCCTCTTTTCTGCTCCCTTTTCTGTCCTTTTATATCTCTAAAGAGATTGACTCAAGATACAACCTAATCTTGAAGACTGCATCCAACATCATTAAC